TGATGTTGAAATGTCTTAGTGATGCCTTCAGGGAGCGTCCATGATGTTGAAATGTCTTAGTGATGCCTTCAGGGAGCGTCTCGCTGCAGTGAATGACAAGTGAAACATGTCGGGGAAAATGAACCTCTGGAGCTGACTAATCCCTGACATCTTCAGAATGAGTGAGAACATTTGCAGACGGACAGGATGAACTATTGTTCCTGGGGGGGGGGGGGGGCACCGGTACTTGCACTCACACCACAGCAGATCAGCAACATCTAACCTGGTAGAAACATCTAAAAACACCAACGCAGCGCTGAGTTCAAAGAGTGTGAACAGCAGGCTGGTGTGTGTCACACACCCTCCAGCTGGCAGTTAAGGGTCTGTAGGCACGAAGGAGGAGTGCAGCTGATCCTGGGTCAGATGGAAAACATTTAGATATTTCAAGCTTTCAGCCTCGGACTACAGAGGAGCAGCTCAACCAGTCAACAGCATGCAGACCCGCTGGACCAGAACCTTCACTACAGTCTGTCACGGAGCTGAAGACCAGTCCGAGCATACGGATCAGAGCCCGAGTCTCCCAACTGTCCCATCGCTCCCAATAGTCCCATCGCTCCTAACTGGGCACTTTGGAAACAGTTTCTGTCCCGACGCCGTCAGAGCAGCATGAAAAGCTCCTCTGAGCTTCAGTCACATCTTTAAACTAAATACAAGCAGTGGAATGAAATTCATTGTACTTGTACTGATGAGTATTCAAATGTAAGTACTTGTACCTGGTTTACAGACAGATAGTATCGATGATTCCCTTGTGAATGCAGCTAATCCCAGTTCAGGGGAATGTGAGAGTCCTCACAGATCAAGCATCTGAATGTGTCTCCTCCTCCTGACAAGAAGCAGTTTTCATTGGTCGTCACTCAGAGCGGCTCTGAAACACTCAATCCACGTTTAATACGTAATGTTGGAGAAGAAACCAAGGAGGAATGATCTAAATAAAAAGCTGGGCTGAAGTATTGCCAGGTGATTCTCTCCATCCAGACCTGGAGGAGAAAGGGATTCTGGGAAACGTCAGTTTGCTCCAGGGCTCGTTGGCATCACAAGTGGAACATGTGTCCTCCATGCTCTGCAGATCACACACGCCACGGAGAACAAACCAGTAGCAGCGTGTCGTTCCAGCTGGTTCTCAGGGGAGCAGAGCCTCTCCCTCCTCAGCCCAGAGGAGGTCCAGCGCCTCGGCCTGCCGCAGCTCCCTCTGGTGGATCCTCCGCAGGCGCAGGATGTAGAGCAAGATGGCCAGCACCACCACCAGCAGGCAAAGCGAGAACAGGTGGTGGTTGTAGACGAAGGAGGGGCGGAGCCAGCTGGAGTGGCTCTGCCGCAGCGTCTCCTGCTGCAGGTCCCTGAACAAACAAGTTCATCACATTTAGAATCAGCAGCTGTCTGGGCTTACACTTCAAACATTTTATCTACAGGCGCCTTTCAAGACACATGTCGTCTAATGAAACACGATGACTGAAAGATTAAAGGCTGAGCATTGTGTCCCACCACACTTACTCTGAATCACCTCATGCACAACTAGGGATGCACCGATCCACTTTTTAAAATTCCGATCTGATCCCGATACCTCGATCTGAATATCGGCCGATACCGATCCAGTTCCGATCTCATGATCATCATTGATTTCATATGAGGCTGTAATAATCTCCTCTCAAGTACAATTTGTACAAATATATGCATGCATGTCCAAAAAGGCAACTTGAGGTAAGTTTTATTAATGTTGGATAAGTTTTAAAGTTAGAATTAAATTCTAACACAAAACATGTTTCTTTTTATTCCTAGTTTTAAAGTGGATATTAAAGTGATTAATTTAAGTGATTGTTTAAAGTTATTTTATATTTTATAAGGGGCAGATATAAGAATTTCTGTCTTCTTTCTGAACTCTTTTCATTCAATGTTTTCTTTTTCATGACTTTTTTTAATTTTGTTTCTTTTAAATGAAAGAATTAAAATTAAATAAAATGTTAAATGTCTTCAAACACCTGGCATAAACCAACAGACATGTTCCTGTTTTTAGTATTTTACATCACTTTATAATGTAGATGTTTATGTTTTTGTTTTTAATATAATTTTCAAATCACATGTGTTTTTTATGATTGTCTCCTGTTGAACTGATAAATATCTCCTGGAGGTTAAACTATATCTTGTCTACAAGGATCAAACTGTGAAATCCATCATTTTCTACAACTGATAGTGGTCGGTCATGAATCATGATGAAGTTTAGCAACTTCTCTGTAAACATTTGAGCTCCGTGGTTTCAGCGACGTCTTCTTGTTCAGTCCGAAGCAGGCAGCCTGATCTCGGTCTGCCGCGCTCAGTCTGTCCCTCCTCAGAGACGGGCAGACTGAGCGGGGCAGAGTGGACGCGGCTGGCCGGTGTTGAGTCGCCTCTTTCCAGTTGAGCAAAAAGTAGGCACCACAAAATGCCACGGAGCTCGAATGTCCATCGTAAAACTAACTTTACGATGGTTTAATGTGGCGCTGTGGCTCTGCAGACAGTGCACGTTGCTGTCTTGCTTTGTGGTGTTTAGTGTAAAATACTTCCACACAGCGACATGTTTCGATGAAAAGTTTGTTAGTTGTTAGCCACAGTGCTGCTAACTCAGTCCTCACGTTGTAGCTGCTGCAAACTATGAACTGGATTTCCTGAATGTGAGGCGGGTCTTATTACTCTGGGTTCATGAGACACGCCTCCGTTCAGGAAATCCAGTCCATAGTTTGTAGCCAACTTGCATCATGGATCGGAAATATCGGCAGGTGGATCGAAAAAAAATCCGATACGTAAATTTTGCTGGTATCAGAGGCTGATACGATACTGGATCGGATCGGCCCCATCCCTATGCACAACATGACAGAGCTGTTCTTAGTGACACCTTGTAAACAGAAAGATCTTCAAAGATGTGTTGGTGCCCACGTTATGATTTGTTAATGACTCAGCTGTTACCACGCCAACTTTGAGCTCAGGTCTACAAAACTGACGTTTGTGGTCGGCTCAGGTCAGACAGCTGTGGCAGCCATCTTGAACTTGATTGACTCCAAACTTGTACACATACATGTAATAATTATTTCATGAACGTTTCAGGTGTGTTCAGCTGTAGGCGGCACGGTGGAGCAGTTGGTAGACCTGCTGCCTCTCAGTGAGAAGGTCGCTGGATCAAATCCCAATCCAGGATGCTTTCTGGGTGGAGTTTGCATGTTCTCTCCGTGCATGTGTGGATTTTCTCTGGAAACTCCAGTTTCCTCCCACAGACCAAAAACATGCATGTTAGACTGATTGGTAACTCTAAATTGTCCATAGGTGCGAGTGAGAGAGAGAATGGTTGTTTGTCTCGTTTGTCTCTATGTGTCCCTGTGATGGACTGGAGACCTGTCCAGGTGTCCCCGCCTCTCTCACAGTGACTGTTGGACATGGACACCAGTGACTCCCGTGATCTGAAAATGAAGAAGTGGGTAAAGATAATGGATGGATGGATGGATGGATGTTTAGCTGTTCATCAGATAATTTGTTAACAGACACAGCTAGCAGCTGGTCTTTCAGCAGCAGGTGTCAGAGTTAGAACAGGTGTGTTCAGGTAAGACCTGAAACACAAGGTCCGGTTCATAGACATCAGGAGGAAGTGACTTTCAGAAGGGGGTCAGACTAGCTGACATCTCGAGCCCCCTGCACTGATCAGACTGACTCTAGGAACAGTAGGATGAGCAGAGGAGGAAGAGTTCAGCTGAGTGGTGATGTGCATAAGATCAGAAAGCTACAGAGGAGGGAGGACCTGACAGGTCTTGACATGTCCAGACGGGCCTGACAGGTCTTGACATGTCCAGACAGTCCTGACAGGTCCTGACAGGCAGGAGCAGGGTTTTACAAGCAGGAAACCAATCCTGAAAAATGGGACTGATGTGTTTCAAAGCTGGGAGTTGTGGTGTCGAGTCGTGCAGTGAAGTTCTGGATCAACTGAAGGCTTTAAGTCATCTGTTGTTGGAAACGAGAGAAAGGTGTAACGATAATCCAGGTGTGTTGTGAGCATGGTGTGGATCAGAACAGCTGCATTTGATGTAAGAAAAGAGGGATTGTACTTCTGGTTTGTGATGACAGGAAAGAATGAAAGGCGGACAGCTTGAGGGGAAGAACTATCAAACTGTTGAAAATCAATGAGTTGATGAGGTGAAGTGTTCTTGTGCCACTGAGGACCATCAGTTTAATCACTGCTGAGTTGGAGGAAGTTGAAGAAGAACCAGGACTGGAGTTCTTGTACAGTCACCAGGAGGACCAGTAGGGGTGGTTCAGTGAGAACGTATCTCTGTGTCATCTGTGTAGCTTTAGACGTTGACCTTGTATTTGAAGAAGACAATATAAAGAGCAGTTATGGAGGAGTGACTGAAACAGGATAAGACAGGAAGGACTTGATATGAAAGAACTAAGTGCAACCTAGGACACCTGTCCACACTAGAACGTTTTCTTCACACATCTACAAAAGTTAAGTTTGATCCTCTGGACATCCATCCATCCATTTCTTCCTCTTATCCGGGGTCGGGTCGCGGGGGTAGCAGCTTAAGTAGGGAGACCCAGACTTCCCTCTTCCCAGCCACTTGGGTAGGAACATAGATCGAATGGTAAATTGAGAGCTTTGCCTTTTGACTCAGCTCTCTCTTCACCTGACAGACCTGTACAGCGCTCGCTTCACTGCAGACGTCGCAAATATCCGCCTATCGATCTCACGCTCCATTTTTCCCTCATTTGTGAACAAGACCCTGAGATACTTGAACTCCTCCACCTGGGGCAGGACCTCCTCCCCGACCCGGAGAGGGCACTCTACCCTTTTCTGGCTCAAGACCGTGGCCTCGGATTTGGAGGAACTGATCTTTATCCCGGCCGCGTCACACACGGCTGCAAACCGCTCCAGCGAAAGCTGTATATCACGACTTGATGAAGGCAATACGACCATATCATCTGCAAAAAACAGAAGCGATCCTAAGTCCACCAAAAACGGATCCCCTCAACACCTTGGCTGCACCTAGAAATTTTGTCCATAACAGTTATGAACAGAATCTGTGACAAAGGGCAACCTTGGTGGAGTCCAACACTCACTGGGAACAGCCCAACTTACTGCCGGCAATGCGGACCAGGCTCTGACACCGGTCGTACAGCGACCTAACAGCCCGTATCAAAGGGCCTGGTACCCCATACTCCCGGAGTACCACCCACAGGGCTCCCCGAGGGACGCGGTCGAATACCTTCTCCAAGTCCACAAAGCACATGGTTGGGCAAACTCCAACGCACCCTCCAGGACCCTGCTGAGGGTGTAGAGCTGGTCCAATGTTCCACGACCCTCCTCTCCAGAACCCCTGAATAGACCTTACCAGGGAGGCTTAAGAGCATGATCCCCCTCTAGTTGGAACACACTCTACAGTCCCCCATTTTGAATAATGGGACCACCAACCCGATCTGCCAGTCCAGGGGAACTGCCCCCGGATGCCCATGCAATATTGCAGCGTCGTGTAAGCCAACACAACCCCACAATATCCAGAGCCTTAAGGAACTCCGGGTGACTCTCATCGACCCCTGGGGCCTTGCCAACGAGAAGCTTTTTAACTACCTCGTGACCTCAGCACCAGAGAATGGAGAGTCCAACCCAAAGTCCCCAGGCTCTGCTTCCTCAGTGAAAGACGTGCCGGTGGGATTGAGGAGTTCTTTGAAGTATTCTGCCCACCGACCCACGACATCCTGAGTTGAGGTCAGCAGCATACCACCTCCACTATAAATAGTGTTGGTGGCATACCGCTTCCCCCCGAGACACCGGATGGTGGACCAGAATCGCCTCAAAGCCATACAGAAGTCATCCTCCATGGCCTCTCTGAACTCCTCCCACGCCCGGGTTTTTGCCTCAGTGACCACCCGAGCCGCATGTCGCTTGGACTGCCGGTACCCATCAGCTGCTTCCGGGGTCCCACAGGCCAAAAAGACCCGATAGGACTCTTTCTTCAGCCTGACAGCATCCCTCACCGCCAGTGTCCACCACCAGGTTCGAGGGTTACCGTCGTGACAGGCACCGACAACCTTGCGGCCACAGCTCTGATAAGCCGCCTCGAAAATAGAGGGGCGGAACATGGCCCACTCAGACTCAATGTCCCCCGCCTCCCCCGGAACATGTTCGTAGCTCTCCCGGAGGTGGGAGTTAAAGCTCCGTCTCACAGGAGACTCTGCCAGATGTTCCCAGCAGACCCTCACAATACGTTTGTGTTTGCCAGGTCTGACCGGCATTCTCCCCCACCATCGGAGCTGACTCTCCACCAGGTAGTGGTCAGTAGACAGCTCCGCCCCTCTCTTCACCAGAGTGTCCAAGACATGCAGCCGCAGATCAGATGAGACAACAACAAAGTCGATCATCGAACTGCGGCCTAGGGTGTCCTGGTGCCAAGAGCACATATGGACACCCTTATGCCTGAACATGGTGTTCGTTATGGACAATCCATGACGAGCACAGAAGTCTAATAACAGAACACCACTCGGGTTCAGATCGGGTGGGGGGTGGGGGGGCATTCCTCCCAACCACACCCCTCCAGGTCTCACTGTCATTGCCCACGTGAGCGTTGGAAGTCCCCCAGTAGAACAAAGGAGCCCCCAGGAGGTGCACTCTCCAGTACCCCCTCTAAGGACTCCAAAAAGGGTGGGTAATCTGAACTGCTGTTTGGCGAATAAGCACAAACAACAGTCAGAACCCATCCCCCCACATGTAGGTGGAGGGAGGCTACCCTTTCATTCAGCGGGGTGAACCCCAATGTACAGGCACCAAGATGGGGGGCAACAAGTACACCCACTCCTGCTCTGCGCCTCTCACCAGGGGCAACTCAAGAGTGGAATAGTGTCCAACCCCTCTCAAGGAAACTGGTTCCAGAGCCATGCGTAGAGGTGAGTCCGACTATTTCTAGCCGGAACCTCTCAACCTCACACACCAGCTCAGGCTCCTTCCCCACCAGAGATGTGACATTCCACGTCCCAATAGCCAGGTTCTGTAGCCGAGAATCAAACCGCCAGGGTCCTCGCCCTTGGCCACCACCCATCCCACATTGCACCCGACCCCTTTGGCCCCTCCCACAGGTGATGAGCCCATGGGGAGGGGGACCCATGTCTCCTCTTCGGGCTGTACCCGGCCGGGCTCAATGGGTAAAAGCCTGGCCACCAGGCGATCGCCAGCATGCCCCACCTCCAGGCCTAGCTCCAGAGTGGGGCCCTGGTGACCCACGTCACAACATTTTAGGAGCTTCTTCATGATCTGTTTTAAAAACAAAGCACCAGAGTGTAAATGTCTTGAACTCCCCCATTGCTGTTTTATGTAGACCAAACACACAATGTTGAAAACAACGCTGGTACACCTCTGATCGACCTCTGATCGACCTCCAGAACATGCACGGTACACCTTACTGCTTCAATTAGCAACTAACACACTGCACACTTTTAACTTGCACCATGTGTGCACGCTGTACGTGCACACTCCATGTCACTTTGGGTGCGATTATGTTGCAGTGTTACAGGGCCACTCACAGGTGTGACCAGGTACTGTAGAGTTTTGGGTCGTTTTCAGAGTCTCCATGAGGATGAAGACATTTATAGAAACTGTACCGTGTTCATAAAAATAATTTTAGAAACAACAAAGACTGATTGTTTTGGAAAACCCGTGTTTCTGAGTGAACTACGTCCAAGTGTGAAGTGAGGAAACCTAAACATCTTCCATGATGTCACCAAGAAAGATCCTGACAGAATGCATGAGACACTTCACAAACACTGATAATATGTGATCTATTTGTATTCAGCGGTGAGATAAGAGGGTGCTCACCTGAGGGGTAGGAAGCGGGTTTTAAACAGGATGGCACCCAGAGTCCACTGGACCTCCTTGTCATAAACCAGCTGAGCCGTTCTCAGACTTGGGTAGTCGGAGGGGAAGCGGAAACCTGAGTGCAGCACTTCATACATCCACGCTGACTTGAAGCACTGATACCTGAGAGCACAAGGACAGGGGTTCACACCAAGACTTCAGGTGTTTAGCTGCTGCTGAGTCGGGGGTAAAATTAGACCAGCCGCTCAAAGCAGATGGCCTCTTGTCCTGATCCTGGTTCTGCTGGAGGTTTCTTCCTGTTAAAAGGAGTTTTTCTTTCCACTGTCTCCACTGTGCTTGCTCAGGATGGGAGACTGCAACGAAGCCAAGATTCAACTTGTCTGCTGGATTCTTAGATAGAGAACTTTACTAATTGGCTTTTATGTGAATGTTTCTGTAAAGTCCCTGAGACAACTTTGTTGTGAACTGGTGCTGTAGAAATGAACTGAAATGAATTTGAGGCACAAGATAAAAATTAATGCGACTCCAGAAAAGTTTCATTTTCAACTTTAAACAGGAAAGTTAAACTTTTTATTTCAGACAGGTTAGTTCCATCTGCAGCTCTGAATGATCAACAAGCTCCAGTGTTACTGAAGCTGAAACACAAAACTGGGAACATCCTGATGCATGTTACATAAACTGGGAACATCCTG